CGTCTGGTCTTATGAGCCTCGATTTCTGCTGCAACATTCGGATGACAGGATCAGAATTTGGCAGCAACATAAAGCATGGATATCCCCCACACAATGGTGTGGGGGATATCTTCTTGGCACACTTTAGGTCCATTAGTATCAATTAAGTATTGTTTAAACGTCACAGCCTACGCGAGTCCATGTTCATCCCTTTATGACCACAGTGTACGCATCTTCTGATAGCTGCTTTCAGCAGGATACAGCTCCATGACTCAAAACCTCAAATCATCTCAGACTGTTTTCTTCAACATGACCGGAAGTTTACTGCACTTAAATGGTTTCTATGGTCACCAAATCTCAGGCAAGTACCTAAGGAGACACATTTAGGATGTGGTGGAAGAGGTGATTCCCATCACGGATGTGCAGCAGACAAATCTGCAGCAATTGTGTGATTCTACTGAATCAAAAGTTCAGAGGGATGTTTCCCATCAATAAGTAATCTTTTCACTCACTGTAGTGCACATCTTTGCAATCAGGAAAAGCTACTAATCCCATTCCTCGAGAATATCATCTTGTTTGTTTTAGGTGCTTTTCCCCCACTCATCTGCACAAATCAGGTCCAGACACTCATTCTTCCACATTTGAGTGGGAAAAAGGAAACACATGCACAGGAAAAAAATCTTTTTATTTAGGTGTTTCACTTTCAAGAGGAATTACTGCGAGGGGCTTGAATGTCAGCACATGAACCGGTTAACAACCAATCATAGCCCAGCATTTATAAAGACCACCAAGCAGTCTGCAATCCAGGGGCTAAGCGAAGACATTACAGAGAAACAACGTTGTATGGTAAATTTAAAAAAACAAACAAATACCCCAAGCCTTTAATAAACACTAAATCCTGTGAGAGTAGTCTGGGTGTCAGTTATTGAATAAAAATGATGCTTCCAGACATCCTGTCCACTATCACCTAAAATGAGCTCGTCTGGTATATGACAGGTACCAAAGCTCATCTGTTGGGGCTGTGTCATTACATCCAACAAAAATAAGGTTATGAAATAAGATTATCAAAATGCTTCTGTAAGATGACAAATATCTGACATGAGCGACGTCACTGGCATTTGAAACCAGTTTATTTTTTCTAATTAGACTCGCCGCCTGCCACTGTGACATTTTTTGGTTATTGCTCACCTCTCATTCACCTGTGGCCAGCCTAAGTTTAATAAGCAGCCTTCGTCATATCCCCTCCACGAGATCCAGATGGTGAATGGGTAATGGATGATGACTGCAGACAGACAGATGAACGCAATACACATCCTCGCCGTCGCGTGTCGAGTTATTTGTGAGCACCATCTGCTGGAGGAGGCCAAGTAATCATTTCCTGCGTGTGTGGCTTTTCTTTACGTCGTTATTACCCCGCTTCAATTCTGAGTCATGTTTTAAAACTCCATCACACAGAAAGGGAAAAGAAATCCTATTAATAAATTATTGTTTGATGACTTTTTATTTGGAAAAACCCTGATTACATGCTCACCCAGATACTTACAGCGATGTGTGGTTCTTGGTTAAAGCACTACACATAATGGTTCATCTACACATGACATTATAGTGACTGTGAACAGTATATATATATATAGTGTGTAAGACAATGCTATTTTTTACAAAAAAGATATCTTAAAATCAGGATTTTTAAAAATAAATAAACACAAGTGCAATCTATGGTTGTGTGAGCGCCTTCGGACCGGCATGACAAGGGAAAAATCACAAACACAAAAGGCTGAGGCACTGTATTGCTTCACTCTCTGATAAAACCATAAAACAATAAGGGAAAAATAGCTGAAAGCTTCCAACCACGATAAAGCAATCCCTCAGTGTATTGATCTCTCCAGTTCAGTGGAAGTACCATCAGCTTTACTGTCTAACGGCCATTTAGAAAATGAAACTGAAGTACCTTTAACACTGGCGTGAAATCTATTTGATGATTTAGTGAAAGTGACTTGTTAGACTCTCACTTAATCCCTTCAAAAGAAAGGAGAGAGAGACAGAGGATGACATATTTTATGAATTCGGTGTACTTCTTTTTAAAACCACTTATGAAATTTTTATCTGCTAGTATTGAAGTAGAAAGGCATGTTTCAGTGCTACAGCGACTACTAATAGCCAGCCAGTGCATGGAAGATTTAGCAGAGTGCACCTGTGTGAGTCTGGATGTGCGTGGGATTCTGTGGACGTGTTTCCGAAAAGGCAAGAGTGGGAGTACTACATCTAGCCAGCAGAGTCAGTCTCCAAAGCAGGAATCCGAGTGATATTTCAGTAGCTTGCTTTCAGTGTATTCTGTTTTAACGGGTCAGTTCACCCAATTATGTAAAATTAAGTTACATAAAACTGGCTTTGTGTGTCCAGAATTTTAGATATCTGAATACTAGAGAGTGAGCAAAGATTACAGCAGCTCTATAAAGAGTGCTTTGACTTACATGCAAAACTCAACATGCTAAAAATGACAAGGAAAGACTTCCAGATGCTCAAAAGCATTTCATAGAGGGTGCTTGTGCATCCATCCATACATCCTCTGCCTCCTCCGGGTAGGACTTGTCATCAGGTGATCCTATTCAGATGCCTGAACCCCCTCAACTGCCTCCTTTTGATGTGGAGTAGTAGTCCTCCAAGTCCCGCCTGAATAACTAAGCTCCTCCCCTTATTTCTAAGTGAGACCCATTTCTGCTGCTTGCATCAATTCTTTATGTCACCACAGGGTGGGAACAGCTACCATTAAGGGTTCCTCCCTTAATGGCATGTAAATGCTATCAATTCTTTCCTGATCAATCTGCGGGCATTAGAAAATGACAAAATATTTATGTATATTATTAGCTTCCGATTAAGAAAACTTTAAGTAAATGTGTTTTTATTTCGGTGCAGACATATTGTCAGTTTTCCACTTTAGATTAATAAGAAGCATTTGTTGCTCATTGACATGGAAGAAACTAGTTACCGTCTTAAGAGTTAAAGTCAAAATAAAGCTGAGGTGGGCGTGTTTGTTTTCAGTTTTGCAGGAATTCTGGCAAAAATTGAAACTCAGACCTGTTGCAGCTAGAGAGAAGGTGAGCCTCTCCATCAATTTTAGTTAGTCTCATCATTAAAACCAGAACTACAGCAGGTGTTCGAAATATAAGCAGCTGCATGTATTATTCAGCACCTTCCCACTGTCTATCAGAAAACTGACTAAGTGTTCCTTCCTAGACCCGTCCTGTGAGATCCAATCAAATTCACATTTAGCACTCTTGGCTTTTAGAAGCATGACGTACCTGAACGGCATAATTAAATGACTTTTCCCCCCCTAAAACTGCATTAGCCTTTTCCCCTTAATTTTTACATCATTACAGCGTATTAAAAGAGTTCGCTTCTCGAAGAAAAACACTTACTAATTTTTATAAAAATGAAGATGAATGCAGGTGACGTTGGAGCACTTGTTTTCAGTTCGGCAGGAATTCTGGCAAAAATTTTAATTCAGACCTGTTAAAGCTAGAAAGAATGTAAGCTTCGTCATCACCGTTTAATTTAATTTAATAACTGAAAGTCTTTAAATGTCACTGTTCAGTGCTTACACAGAAGGGCCTCCAATCTGTCCGGTCATTTTAGCAATATCTCAAAATCTGGGCACACAAAAGCAAAAGTACAGCACAGACAGTATAGAAGATGTTGCTGTGTAGTGTGGATGAACTAACCCTTTAAGTTATTTTTCTCTTCGTTCAAGCGTGAATCACCACTGTAAAGCACTACAGAGGTGTAGTGTTTGTGTAAAACTGTAGCTGTGATTAGAAATAGGTCAGTAGTGCCATGTTGCTGTCGTACAGTGTGAATATTTTTATGGGGTCCAGGTGACTGATCAACAGCCAGTCCTTGGCCCTGCTGGGCTCCTACTCATCTACCCTGTTGGCCAGCAGCTATCCAGACTACTCTTGGGGCCCTGGGGCTTTCATGACCATGCTGGCTCCAACCATGCCTGGATAACTCCGGTTCCTCCTCATTCCATCAGGTCCAAAAGGGGAGCCAGATCTACGCAGTCCACCCAGAGGCCCTAGCATGGGACCAGGGCTCATCGCTCTGCTTCCGGGGGCTCCAGCCACACCCAGCCGCTTCACCTTGTCTACCAGGTTCAGATTGTGGACGGCCACGCTAACGTCTGTTTGGCTTTCACAGTCCCTCCCTCGCTGCCTGCCTCTCATCCCCCCTGTCACCTCCTTCAGGATGGAACGGGCTGGTTTGGAAGCCAGGAAGTTCTCATAAGAAGGACTCTTGAAGTCAAAGCCAGCGGAGCTTGGCACAGCTGAAGCTCCCTGTCTTGTGGGAGAGTTTGGAGGGGTCGAGGGCCGCATAGGATCGGGATTAGGTGTTCGGTTGGGGGCAATGGAGGTGCTTAATAGGACTCCTCCGCTGCCCTGACCCTGCTCCAGGCCCTGGCTCTGGTGATACACAGCTGCTGAGATTCCTCTCTCCTGGAGAAGACGTACCAACCCCAGGGAGGTGCTGGTGGTGCGTGTAGCATCTCTGCACAGACATGAGACAAAATACACACATAATGTCCTTTCTTAAAGGAACAGTTCACACCAAACTCAAATGCATATAGTTTTTCTGCTGATTATTTATCCAAATAAACAGCCAGCTATAACCAAGGAACTACACCTGTCAACCAAAGGAAGCACTCAGCCCGACAGAGAGGGAAGGCATTAATGCTTACAATACCACAAGTCTGTGATCTCATGCAGTTGAATGCAAACTTACTTTTTATATGCACTCAATTAAAT